AGATAGTAACTCAGCTTAGAACTGGGAAAATGAACAGCAGACCCCAATCTTATCTAAAGGAATAGTGACAACTGATTTCTGCTAGATGAGGAACAGCTGACCTTCCTAAAACAAAGGCCTCTAGATAGGCTGAGTATTTTCACCGGAGGGCAAGTAGTGGGGAATGGCTGGGGGGTGCCGACAACATAGCAGACAGTATCAGGAATATCAGAGTATAAGAGCTCTAGTAGGGGGAGGGAGGCTATGGGAGGGTGCTATCTGGGAAGTGGGTGTAAAAACATAATTTAAAAAAAGGAATTATGCAATATTTAAATTTTATCTTTTGGTTGTTTTGCTTAACCTCTGAAAGGTTTATCCACACTCTGGCATGAAGTTGTCTGATGTGTTTTATGTTTCATGAGCCAGTGAAAGAGGAATAAATGGCAGAAAGAACAAGCTAATTTGGCAGTAGGAAAGTAGCAAATCAGAAGTGCACTGGGCTCATCTTCCCACACGGAGAAAACACCTTCCCTCCAAGGCAAGACTGAAGGCAAAGAGCTGAAGATACAGAGAAATTTCTGAAGAGATTCTATGGAGTATACAAGACCTTGTCAGGCAGGCTTGACCTTAATGAGATTAGTTCAGGGTCTGCTCCTGACAGGATGGAGACAGAGGTGGTTTAGAAACTGGAAGAGGAAGTTTAAACATCAGGATAACTAAGCCATGATATTTGCTATCAGTGAGAGAATTAATATACCATTTTTTCATAATTTGGGGCTTAAAACAACATCAAAGTAGGCCAAAGGTTAACTCAGATTTTAATATTTCAGGAGTAAAAAGCAAAAGTTCAGCTCTTCCTTCGCTGCTGCTCAGGCCAGTATGTTTCCACTGCTGAGCTTGTCCCTCTTCATACTCAGCCTCTTCCACTTATTTCCCTGAGCTTTTAAAATTATGTTCCTTGTTTTCTAGGGCTTTAAAATGGCAGCATGTAAATTTTTAGTTATTTATTTTTCTTTTTAATTTATATTTTACAAAAACCACATCATACCTATAGATGATTATATCATTTGAATATACTGTATATGATTATATTGTAGAATGCTAAGCCGATCACCATGTTGTATATTTTGTCTTTTTTATATGAGAAGAACGTTAAAAATTTGTATGTTCACACTGGCCATTGTAGCTTACATTTGCATTCAGATCTGAGAGGCTGAGACAGGAGTGTGGCCGCTCTCCTTTCGCCGTGGGCACCACCTGTGGCCACTCTTCTGCTCGCACGGTGCTGTCTCTGGGCACCGCTCCTCCGCTGGCATGGGTGCCACCTTGCATCTGTTCTCCAATTGCATGGCGCCACCTCCAATTGGACAGGCACCACCTCGGATCACAGTCACTGCCTCCGATCACACGGGCGCCACCTCTGATCGCCCAGGTGCCACCCTTTGCTCATTGGCGCTGCCCTTTGCTCCTCGCTGTGGCCGCTCTTCCGCTCCCTCAGTACTGAGGCTGCTCTTCTGCTTACCAGGTGCTGTCTCTGATCATGGCTGTTTCTGCCCAGTCCCCAACCCCAGGGCTGGTGAGGAGACTGTGTCAGCAAAGCCGCATTCAGACACAGGAGACCTGATTCAGTGATGCAGATCCAGTTTATTACAGAAGAGTACAAGCTTATATGGGGTGGGGGTCCAATCAAGAAGTTACAACTCAGATCTTTGGCAGGGCTTTGTCCTATCATAACATCAGGAGTCAGACACCTTATTAGCATAAAAGGTTTCAGGTTACTTAGGTTCTGGTTTCCTGTATGGGGCTTGGATTCCTGGGAATCACGTGACCCAGGCTGTTACACTATCTAGGTGTTGCAATTTGGAATCTCAAGGGTGGTGATTAGGGAGTGGTGAGCTCTAGGCATCAGTCTCATGATCTGCCAATGGGAGCAAATGTCACAAGGAGTTCCTTGTGGCTCCAGTAGTCCCCTGTTGCCTCGGGCCTGCTGTGTGACTGTCATTAAGACTTTCACTCTAGGCTCAAGCCTGTCTCCCACACAGGAGGACTGCTGTGAGTTTAGGACCAGACTGGGTTACAAAGCGAGCTACAACTCAGCCTGGGCTATATAGAGTGAGACCCTGTGTCTACAGAACTAAATGAATAAATAAATAAATCTTCGGCAGCCTTTTTCAAGTACATAATATGCTGTTTTGAACTCTGCAGTCACCATGATATAGTAAAACTCTCTTGAACTTACAAAAGAACCAGAGTCCCTTGTATACTCGTTTTGAACTCTACTTATTTACAGTGCTGAAAAGGAACTTACTGTGCATTGCAAGTGTAGTCCTCATTCTGCAGACTCAGCTCTGTACTTGAAGAGGAGGTTTCAGATACTGTTGAAAGCTACTTGGTCCTGCCTCCTTGGTGGACCAGACAAGGCCATATTTTCTTAGACACATTCATCTAGATGGCCTTCTTGTCTACTGTTAATTTGCATACCTGCTTCACATACCAACAAATGCCTCTAGAATCTATGGTGATTTTTTCCTTCCCTAAATACAAAGTGAGTACAAGGGACGTGGTTCTTGTGTGACAGGAGCAAAAGGTTCCTTTTGTTGACACATTTACAAACAGTAAAATTCATAAATTATAGCAATTGGCTGCTCTAAATGGCTTCCTTTACGTCCTATATTCTAACAAATCCAACTTATACTTTTCTTAATAACAAATTTTGTTGCTTTTCTAAGAAACACCCTCAAGAAAATTGAAGTATTTGATCTTTAGTGCTGGGTGGGAATGTCAAGAGTTTGAGGTTCAAAGATTTCCACATTGAAGACTGACAAGATGTTTCTTCTTTTTGTTCCAAATCTTGTGTTTACTCCAAAGTCTCTAGAAGAAATAGTGTTGAGGACAATGATAAATCAACTTTTCTCTTTCCTTTCTATTTTCCATTCTTTTTCCCACTTGTGTATTCCTCACACCGAGGAATCTGAACTAACTGAGTCGCTTTATCTTCCTACCCATTTCTGTTATGAATGCCTCAAGGGAAGCCTGCATTTTAGTTACAATCTTCATCTCAGTAATTCATGTTTGATTCCTTCTTTAAATTTCTAGACAAATCATTCTTTATGACCCATTCACCAGAGAAGACAGCTGAAAGCAAGCATGGTCTGAAAGCTGTCTCACAGTTACCTCTGCCCTGTTGAGTCAGTGTGCATGCTGTGTGTTGGGCTGGGGAGTAGGGGTGGTGGTGATAGAGATGAAGAACAAAGGAAGGAATAGTTAGGGAGGAGGGGACAGCTCTGCTTGACTGTGAGCTTGCTCTTTCTCATTTCAGAACACCTGGCTTGGAAGAAATATGGTTCTGCTCACTTAGAGTTTTCATTCACATAGAAGAAGCACAGCTCTGTTTCTATGTAGAAGAAATTAAGCCAGGAGGACTGTCAAACTTAATGAGGCCCCATGGTCCTTTCTGACCACCTAGATAGAATCCAGACCTGTCACTCATCTTTCCAGAGCTCCATAATCAATACATATCTCAGCTTTGCCCTGTCTACCCAGTGAATTTGTGTCTTTGAGGTGCTTGTCTTTTCCAGGTCTTTCACCTGATATGTGTGATGATACTTTGGAAGGTGTTGAGAGGATTAATGAGGTAGGGACTCGGGTGGAATTCAGTGGCAGAACCTGTGCTTAGCATGCATGAGGCCCTGGGTTCAATCCCTAGCACCACAGGAAAAAAAGGAAAAATATACAGAAAATACCTAATGCATTAGCTGTAGCCCCAGCTGGCCTGGACCTCACTATGTAGACCAGACTGGCCTAGATCTCACAGAGATCCACTTGCCTCTGCCTCCCAAGGTGGTGTGCCACAACACCAGGCTGAAAATAAGAGTCTTACCACCTCCCTAGCAGGTTGTTCCTTCCCACCCCCCACCACTACATTGTGTTCTGTGATAACTTTAGTTGCTAAGATCAGTGTGCTTCAACTCAACTATCAGATAGAATGGGATTCTTAAGTTTTCCTCCAGACTAACCTGGACATTTCTGTTTCTTTTGGGTTCAGAGAAAACTGAGCAACAGAAAAAGGAACCAGAGCACAGTTTCATAAAACAAGAAGGAGCTAGAGATGTATGGAAGAAAGACTGAGGAAAGATAGGACCACAGGATCTGAGCTGATTTCAAGTTCTAGGACAGGTATTATAAATACACACACTTAGAAATTCACATGGAGATGTATAAGCTTATGTGGAGACAGGTACTTCGATGTCTCATACTGCTTCCAGCACTAAAACTAAGACCTTGTGGAAAGAGCTTTGGGAAATATGTAATTATTGATTTATGATTTTAAAAAATATTTATTTTTATGTGCATGAGTATATTACCTGCATGCAAGTGCACTCATGTCATGCAATGCCTGTGGAGGTCAGAAGAGAGTGTCTAATTCCCCTCAAATTGGAGTTACAGACAGTAGGTCACCCACCATGTGGGTGCTGGGAACTGAACCCAGATCTCTGCAAGAGCAGCCAGTACTCTCAACCACTGAGCCATCTTTCCCATCCCTGATTTATGACTTTTATGGTTCAACTTCATTTTGCAGTCTTATGGGTTAAACCCAGATATGTTTTCAGCTGAATGAAAGGAAGAAGGTTCTGACAGATCTGTTAAAAATACACTGATCTATGGCTGGAGAGATTGCTCAGTGGTTAGGAGTGTGTATTGCTCTTCCAGAGGATCTGAGTTCAAGTCCCAGCACCTATTCAGCAGCTCACAACTGCCTATAACTCCAGCACTGAACACATTTGCACAAAACCACACGTATTTACACATAATTAAAAACAAAAACAAAACATCCATCTAGCTGGGCATAGTGACCCATGATTTTAATCCCAGCACTCATCCCAGTACTCTGATCTACATAGTAAGTTCCTGGACAGATGGGACTATAGGGTGACCCTGTCTCAAAAAGCAAAAACCATTGATCTGTCCTGGAGTAAACCAAATGTTTACGTACAAGGATGTTGAAATAGAGGCTGTGCCATAAAAAGAAAAAAAAAATCCTGGTACACTAATGCCCAGGTCCCAAGTTTCCAGTTAGAAAGACCTTTTCTGAATCTGAGCATGGTCCAGTACACCTGTAATGCCAGCACTCAGGAGGCTGTGACAAACTGGCTGTGACCAGTTTGAGTTTGAGACCAGCCTGGGTTATATAACCTGATCGTGTCTCCAATAAATAATAAAGACTTTGCATGTTAAAAGTGAGCATCCCTTGCCAGGCGTGGTGGCGCACGCCTTTAATCCCAGCACTCGGGAGGCAGAGGCAGGCAGATCCCTGTGAGTTCAAGGCCAGCCTGGTCTACATAGTGAGTTCCAGGATAGCTGGGGCTACAGGAAGACCCTGTCTCAAAAAGACCAAAAAAAAAAAAAAAGTGAGCATCCCATCAGGAAATGGCAAATAATGTTATAGTCTGGGATCCACAAATGCCCCAAACAGACAGGTGAGTCTGGAGAAAGAAAGAAAGATTTATTACAGCCAGGCTACACAGCCGGGCTATACTCTTTCCTAGAGGGTCTGAGTGCAGCACCAAGCCTAAGCACTCTGGCTCTTTTTATATTGATCATGTTGCTAGGCAAGCAAGCAGAATACAGAAGCCAATCACTGAGTGTTAAGCTTGAGCAAACAGTATCAAGGAAATACATAAGAAAATACAATTTTCCATCCAAACTCCCCACCTGCACGGAACTAGCTTCCTCTTCTTTCATAAACAGACACTATCAATCTTATCGTTATTCTATTTTGTCTTTACCAGTCAGTCACAAAGTTCCCTCTAGAGGGGGGTTTGTTGTATAGCAATTGTATCTTAGGAACCTCTAAATGTTGTGGGATACTTTTTGTACAGAGAAACTATAACCAGGAGTGAAAAGTTTAGGCTCCCAAGCATATAGGTAGAGAGTCCCCTAAATAATTTCTATTCTATTAAGCAACAATTACTATTTTTCAGAAGCAAGCCAAGCATAACCTACAGAAGCCATAAATCAGCAGTTAGCAGGAGCACTCTAGGACATTCTGACCTGTTCCCAAGATGACCAAGGTCCAGCTTGCATGTGTTCCCATATCCAGGGCCAACTGCCTGATAATTTCAGCGACTATAGTCAACCTAAACTTTAACATAGTGTAGCTATGGTCAAGAAGGTACCCTATTACAATAACCTTTATTATCTGGTTAACATAGTAACCCCAGAAACTGCAATGAACCTGCTGATTCTTCTTAGAGGAATATTTTAACAAGTAACCTTAGAAAATATGTGCATTTGAATGATTAGCAAAGACACATGGGAAGATGCTGACTCCTTGTTTGAGTGAAGCTTGGTGAGAGTGGTGATTCCCAGACCTTTTACCACAACTGCCACTTCCATTGCTGTCTGGCCTCCATTCCTGGAACCGCTGGCCTGGAGTGGACTTTTTTTTCCATATGTTATTTAATATTTTTATTTTAAGTGTTATGTGTATTGCCTGCGTGTAGGTAAGTGCACCCGTGTCGTGCAATGCCCATGAAGGACAGAAGAGGCTGTCGCATCCCCTGGAACTGGAGTTACGGACAGTTGTTAGGTGCCATGTGGGTGCTGGGATTCAAACCCGGCTCTTCTGAAAGAACAACCAGTGTTCTTAACCACTGAGCCATCTCTCCAGCCCCTGGAGGTGGAGGCAGGATGATCAGGCAGGATTTCAAGGTCATTTTGGGCTGCCTAGGGGAGCCTTGGGATAGCTGGTCTATCTTTTAGTCATTCAGCAATCTTTGAGCACTTACAAAGTGTCAGGCTTAGCCGGGCGTGGTGGCGCACGCCTGTAGTCCCAGCACTTGAGAAGCAGAGGCAGGCGGATCTCTGTGAGTTCAAGACCAGCCTGGTCTACATAGTGAGTTCCAGGACAGCTGGGGCTACAGGGAGACCCTGCTTCAAAAAGATAAAAAAAAAAAAAAAAAGTGTCAGGCTTGTGGGCACTTAAAATATATCAGTGAACCAAAAAGATGAAGACTCCTGCTTGGTGGGTTTATGAGGTAGATTATAATGTATTAATTAATTCAACAGTATTTAGGGAGTTTTATAAGGTGGTGAGAAAACATGGAGCAAAGGAAGGGGAAGGGAAATTCTAAATAGGGTGGAGTGGGCCTAGCTAAGCATGACACAGGGCGGTGGTGGTACCCAGCACAGCTTGAGAGGGTTTTGAAGTTGAGAATCCTGTAGAATCTTCACAGGCAGGAAATTCTCCAGCTCAGTAGAACTTGGCAACAGTGTTCATGTGGTTTTTCAGAATGAAAAATTTGTTACAAAGTCATGGAGGTGTGCACCACACTTCTAGAAAGTCACTGAGATCAGGCAATGTACCGGCACAGTCAGATTCCCTACATGGAAGCCTTGAGAGGCCACTGCATGAAGCCATAAAGGCTGAGTTGAAAGGAGAGCCCAGGATGTTAGAGATGGCAGGACCAAGAGATATATGTTGGGCAAAGTTGTAGGCAGAGTAGAGCAGCTAACACAACACAGAGGCTATATGTGCTGAAGGTTGCAGGACTGAAAGGCTGTAGCTACCCTATACTCTTGGAGCACCGATGATGCCACCAAGACCCACATATAGTGGACATGAAGCTGCGAAGATTGATGTTTGCCTTGCTGGGTTGGCCTGGTTTTTCCTCACTATTCCCTATTCTTCCCTTTTGGAATTAGAATGCTTATTCTTATGTTATCGTACACTGGAAGCACATAACAATTTTAGTTTTACAGGGACTCAGAATTGAGGGATTGCCTTCAGTCTCAGAAGGTAGGTTTTTGAACACTGTTGAAAATGTTAGAACTGTGGGGACTTTTGAAGAAGAACTAAATGCATTTTACTT